AGTACTAGCAAGGTAGAAAAGAAGTCGACTGGTTCTGATGGTAAAAAGGGTGTTGTACTTGTTAAATATTTGGTTTGTAACAAAGAAGTTTTTGTCAACGATAATAAGAAAGATAAAAAAAGATGTTGAAGGTGCTGTTTTTAGGAAAAAGACAGTCAGGAGGATTGGGTGTCCTGCTATGATTAAGTTTAAGTATTGTGATGGTGGAAAGTATATGGTTTATTTCTTTCATGAAAACCATTGTCATCCTTTCTCAACCCCTACTACCAAACATGCCACTATACCATATGGTGGCTTAACTTGTGTTCATAGGAAGTTTATATTTGATAATTCAAAGTTGAACATTGGTGCTGTTATGTCCTATAGGATGATGAAAGAATATTGTGGAGGTTATAAACATGTGAAAGGCACTAAAAATCAATTTAAAACTTTTCTCGTGACTTAAAAGTTTATATTTCTGAAGCTGATGGGGCTATGTTTATAGAAAATCTTCAACATAAAGTCAAAAACAGTAATGTTGGTTATTATTTGGACTATTGTGTTGATGCAACTAGGCATCTAACACGAGTTTTTTGTGCTGATTCCATAGGAAGAAAGGACTTTCAATTGTTTGGGGATTCCATTTCTTTTGATACCACATATGATACAAATAAATACTCCTTAGTGTTCTGCCCTTTTACTGAAGTAGTTGACCATCATAAACGATGTTTCACATTTTGTGCAGCCTTGTTATCTAAAGAAGATGTGGAATCTTTTGTATGGCTTTTTCAGACTTTTCTAAAATGTATGGGAAATGAGCCTTCTTGCCTAATTATTGACTAAGACCCTATAATAGGTATTGCAATACAGAAAGTTTTTACCAAAACGAAACATCGATTGTGTATGTGGCACATCATGAGGAAAGTGGCTGAGAAAGTGGGTACAACTTTCTGTAATGACATTGACTTTTTGAAAGAACTTTGTGCTATTCACTAGACGAAAATTCTAATTTGGCACCGGATCAAACCCCCCCTAAGGCACCGGTTTTGAACCGTTGAGGATTTGAGGGATGCCAAATCCTCAAAAATTTGGCACCGGTTCAAAACCGGTGCGAACTAAAGCATTTGGCACCGGTTAACCGATGCCAACTACCTTGATTTTGATTAAAAAAAACTGGCGCCATTAAGTTGGCACCGGTTAACCGGTGCCAACTTAAATGGCGCCATTTTTTTTTTTAATAAATTCAATGTAGTTGGCACCGATTTTAAGCATGAACCGGTGCCTTTGACTTGTTTTTTTTTTTTTTTTTTTCCGGAAATGATGTATATTAATATTAATACTAATAAATATAATAATAATGAGATCCTGCACATAATACCTGATAATTAATAATAATAATAATAATTACTATTATTAATTTTATTAATAAATTATAATAATTATAATATTAGTTTTAATAATAATAATAAGTATTAATATTATAATATTAATAATAATAATTATTATTATAATATTAATAATAATTAGTATTATTAATATATTAATAATAACAATAATTGAAAATAATAACAAGGACATAAATATTGATAACAATCCCAAAATATGATATTAATTAGAAAAATGTGTCAAAACTACAAACAAACAAAATTAATTAGTAATAATGTAGTACACTAAGCTAGTTAAAACAGAAATAAATGATATTTACAAATTAAATGTGATGTAGGCCGCCAACATGTCTCGAATTACATTGAGTTCCTCGCTTGTGAACGGATTTCCCGTTTGTCCCTTGCAAAACTTGGAATACATACACAAAACGTAAGTTAGTAGGAGTGAACTCATAAATAATCGTAACATGACAATATCACTTAGTTATTGGTGATGAAGGCTTGAAATTACAAGAAAATAGCAATTAAGGGGTTGTAGAACGCATTTTCAACCAAAATAGCCCGAGTAAGGACATTTTCACTACTAGGATGCCTATTTCCTACATTTCTTGTCAAGTAAACTCATAAATAGTCATAACATGTCTTTATCACTTATTTATAGGTGGTCAAGGCTTGAAATTACAAGAAAATAGCAATTAAGGGGTTTTAGAACGCATTTTCAACCAAAATGGCCCGAGTAAGGCCATTTTCACTACTAGGATGCCTATTTTCTACATTTCTTGTCAAGTGAACTCATAAATAGTCATAACATGTCTTTATCACTTATTTATAGGTAGCCAAGGCTTGAAATTACAAGAAAATAGCAATTAAGGGGTTGTAGAACGCATTTTCAACCAAAATGGCCCGAGTAAGGTCATTTTCACTACTAGGATGCCTATTTACTACATTTCTTGTCAAGTGAACTCATAAATAGTCATAACATGTCTTTATAACTTATTTATAGGTGGCCAAGGCTTGAAATTACAAGAAAATAGGAATTAAGGGGTTGTAGAACGCTTTTTCAACCAAAATGGCCCGAGTAAGGCCATTTTTCACTACTAGGATGCCTATTTCCTACATTTCTTGTCAAGTGAACTCATAATAGTCATCACATGTCTTTATCACTTATTTATAGGTGGTCAAGACTTGAAATTTTAAGAAAATAGAAATTAAGGGGTTTTAGAACGCATTTTCAACCAAAATGGCATAACTCTTCAAGTTGTTGTGTGTCTGTACAATGACTCATCACTATGTCATACATGAATCTTATCACGTATAGGCAACAATCAACTCCGTTTTCTTGTTGTGCGCACTAGCATGAGGAACAAAGCACATGAATCAAAATGAATAGCAAATTAGCCACATCTTACGCATTGTATATTAAGAATATCACAACATTATGTGGCATTACCTTGGGTGATTTCCATGTAGGGCCTCGAGGATTTATCTTCTTCATATTACTACATAGAAAAGTAAGTTCAAATTCGATTAGTATAATTAATACATATGAGTTAGGTTATGATAATCAATAACAAGAATTGAAACAAACAAGATATTTACTTTTGCAGTATGGACCTCACGAGGCGCTTTCTTGGTTGAGGTAACCGAGCAGAATCAAAGAAGAAGATTGTGTTACTGGAAACACAAATCACCAGTAGGGTCCAATGATAACTACACACGAGACAAACAAATCAATATTTAGCCTAATACAGCATATAAACTGGGAAAACAAATGAATTTGACAATCATAATCAGACGTACTCCTCATAATATGGGACGGATATAAACTTGTCTCTCGCAGTCACTGATTCCTTAATCGCCCGTTCAGCATAGTACAATACGTCAGCGGAGTTGCCTATGATTCTAGCAGTGGACATCTGCTCAGGGCATAACCACCCAATTTGACACGGAGATTCAAGCTCCCACATTTGCTCCTGGAGTGCTCTGCATGCATGATAATAGAATGTTAAACCAAAACCAAACGACAATCACCACTAAACTGAATAACATAAATAGAGTACTAGTTGAATTACCTGATGCATATTTGAATGAGGGAAATGTTAAGCATTGCACCACTTAGAAATTCCTTCACATCTTCTTTGAATAGCCATGCCATTGCATCATCATCGTAGTGGAACATTTCCTTAGGTAGTGGAACTTCAATGGGGCTATCACTAGGCAACACACAAACACGGTTGTGCAGATAAGTTAACTCCTTAGAGAGTGATTGAAGCACCGTGTCTTCAACTAGTGGAGTAGCTTGCATAGCTGAACCTCGCGAAAAGCTCTTGTTCGGCGCTTTTCCACTCATCGACCCATGTTCACTCTTCTTCTTTTGCCCCTCCACCCTCTTCTTTGAAGTTTGGCTTTTCCTCGATGACTAATAAGACAAATTAAAGCACACAAATGGTTAAAAAAGAATTTCTACCAACTCTTGGGATTAAAATCGGGTATAGAGTAAAGTGTGAACTCTAAATGTAAATTACCTGGGTTGTAAACCGTATCCAAGCACATGGCCATTGCAAAAAACTACCTTTGGCTTCCCAAAGTGTAGTGAACTCATCCTCCTCTACGGGCACAGGTATTAGGATGTCCTCGAACCCGGCCACCACAGAATTGATCCCAACCGAATAGTGCTCTGGCCGAAGCGGTCACAAATGGACCGTACCTTATTCGGCCGGTTGAGCACTTCCATACGCAACCAAGTTCAAAGCTCATCATTGCTAGCCCTTGTGCATTGGTGCTGTGCACAGCAAGCACATCATTGCTAGCCCTTGTGCAGCAACAAACCAACACACTTGTGCAGTGCACTGGTGCCTGGTGCCTGCTTGTGCACTGCACATCATTGCTACCCCTCGTAGCAACTAAACAACATCAACACACAACACCAACAGCAGTTCAATAGCAACACATCATTAGCAACTCAACCGCAACAACATACAGCACAAAACAACGCAAAAACCGCACAACACAACAAACTTCACAAATTCACAGCTGAATCAATGAACCAATATCACCATCCAAAGAAATAAGTACACAACTCACTTGTAGAACCGAAAAGTCATGAGGTGTCGGATTTTCAAGCTCCCTCAAGTACGCATGTGCAGGATTACCAACCTGCAACAGTGTATTGATAGTGCGAGGCTAATTAGAACCCACGTAACTCAACAAGTCAAAATACTTATAGATTAGAAACCACTTAATCATGTACCTCCTCGTCTGCATGTATCTCATCTTCTCCTTGTTTTCGTGGGTAACTACAAGAGTCGACCGGTGTAGTCGAGGAGAAAGGCAAGCTCGGCAAGTTCATTTGCTTTGCCCATGCATTGAACTCTTCTCGCATCTCGTTGCGCACTTGTTCCTTAATTGATGCCACCATAGCATCCAAGTTGACCGGTGAGTTCACACTTGCCCGGGATCTTCCTGATTTGGTATATTCCGGACCCATCACCTTCTCCCATCCTAGCAAGCTCCCCCCCCCCCCCCCCCGCACCCAATACGCTCTCCAGTGAAAGGGTAGGGCTTTCCCAAAGCCAAGGTGAAAGGGTCCTTCTCCATTGTTGGGACGAGCTTGCCTTCAACAAGCTCTCCAGTGTACTAAAGCTGTAGCAAAAGCAAAAAGGCAACATCAAGTTAGTGTTTATGTAAAGTGATATATGTACAACAGATTCATGCAGTTCACAATTCATAGTTGCTTACAAGTTTATCTGCCATTTCTTTTGTTTCCGGAGCCTTGATGGACCATTTTCCGGTTTTCTTGTCACGAGAATGCAAAGAACAAAAGAAATCTCCAGCACGACTCACCAAAGTACTGGTCGTGGAGTCAGAGGGCACAGTGGAGGACCCTAGTAGCGAAGTGGGGTATACTCCCTCACTCACCCACGTCTCCCTCCATTCATCATACGTCATACACCCCATACGATGGTGGTATTGCTTCTGCAATGCATTCTTGGAATTCTGCTCTCTTATTTCCTACATAATTAGACATATTAGTTTCAAAACTAACAAAATATTAAATATATTTTACAATTGTCATCAGAGTTACTTGAACTTACAATTGCTTCTTTTTTGCTTTTTTAAAGTACGAAAGCATCCCAATCTTCCTTTGATACACTAGGCCATATTTTCCATGGGAGTTTCTCTTCATCGATGACTTCTTCATCCATGCCACCTTCTTTCTTGTTCTTTGGTTTTCTCACAAGCTTCTTTGTGATCAACCGACGAACTAAGGTGGTCTTGAAGCCTTTGAATCTTGCCGCAAGTAAGGATTCAAACACCCTTCGCTTGGCGTACTCATTTGGAATGTTAAATAGACTCTGCAAGCACAAATAACAGTCATTATTAGTTTTCCCATTTAATAACAATAAATTGAAGGAATTTGTAAATGTGCAAAAAACACACTTGCCCCAGTATCATTCCAAAACGTGTCAATCAAGCCTGTAGGTACTTCGCTCAAACGAAGAGTAATGGGAATTTTGCGCGCACAAATCCCAACTTGAACAGCATACTGACGACGCCATTTGCCTATAGGTTGTCCTACCCTGTCATACTCCAAGACCATTGGACCGACAGGTTTCTTGAAACTTGTAGTCGGACCCCTCAGCTTTTTCTGCGCTGGCCCCTTCACCCCCCCTCCACTTTGATCCTCGCCGAACGACTCAGACATTGCATTCTCGATAGGAGGCGCTTGTTCAACTGCAATTTCAAACTCATCAAGCATACGATCCAAAACATCTTGAGCCTGATCTTCTGCCTCACCCAAATCAGGCTCCTTGTTCACATCATACATCTCGTCCCCATCCCCAGATGAATCATCATCATCAACCTCTACATCCTCCACTCCAATACGGTAGTGATCATCCGCCATGAGATGTAAAACCTGTCATTACAAACATAACACGTTATTAGTTGTAATATAAATAAATTTGTAAGGTCAATTTATAATCAAATATAAATTGCTGAATTATAATACAAATTAACATAGAAAATGGGGAACTAAGTTACTTCATTCATTTAAAAGAAAATAAGAAAAATGGGCAAGTAAGTTAGCAATTTCATTCATTTTCACCTAAAAATGTGATTTAATAATACTTTCGACGCCTACAATTTCAAACTAACAAAAAATAGTACCTCAATCTAATATTCCTTCGTCGTGGTCTGATCGCATGTAATTGGCTCGGTCGTCTATCTCATTTGGTACAACAGGTCTAGGAACAGTGAAAGGTGCTGAGTCGGCTGGGTCACTCCAACGCCAAGGATTCTTCTTTTTCCGGCTAGCACAATACACCATTTTGAGTCGGCTGGGTCACTTACGTAAAACACTTGCTTGGCTTGAGATGAAAGGATGAATGGTTCAGCGCTTTCATTCAGGTGGCCAAGATCTACAAGAGTAAAGTCATCATGTTTGACATTACGCCTGATATTATCAACCCACTTACACCGGAAAAGAGCAATCGTGAAGTCACAATAATCAAGCTCCCATATTTCTTGAATTCGACCGTAGTATGACCTATGTTGCACCGATACGGACACGGACACGGGTACGATACGGACACGGTAAAACGGCAATCCTAAAATAGGGGACACGGGTACGGCGAATAACTAGGCATATAATATATTAAAAAAAACGAAAATTTGACAACCTATTCAATAAAACACTAAGTAATTAAACTCAAAATAAGTCATTTTGTTTAAAACAAGTAATTATTTAGTGTCCGTACCAGTGTAATTATTTAGGACCGTAAAACAAGTAAACAAATTCGGTACTCATCTATCTAAACAAGTAAACAAACAAGTACACAAATACACTCAAATAAACACTATTTCTTCTTCCTTTCTCTCTCCTCTCATCTATCATTTCTCACTCTTAAACTCCCATTTCTCGATCTCTCTGTGTCTTCCTCCAATCATACATCACAACACTTTGAAATTTTTTTCAACTCTTCAATAACACCAAAAAATCTACTCTAACAAGAAAAATCGAGAATTAAGGGATGAATTTAAATGAAAACGAGAATGAGAGGATTAACTGAGAGCACCGGCGGTGACGAGCGAGGGCGACGAGCGACGGGAAAGATTAAAGGGGGTTTCCGTTAAATTCGAGAAAGAGAGGACGGAGAATGACACCTGCGACACCGGTGTGAGTGGTGACGAGCGGCGGTTAGCCGGTGACGAGTGACGGCAGTCGGAGACAATCTAGGTTGCGGTGAGGCTGAAGTTCCAGTTGTTGCCTTGTTGGTGTTTGAGTGACGAGAGAAAGAAGCAGAGAGGATTGAATTTGAGATAGGCAGGAGGACATGAGCAATTGAGCATAGGGTTTGAGGAAAATGCAAAATTAGCGTGTCCACTACCAAACGGGCCGTGTCTAGGGGTGACACGGTCCGTGTCCATGCATCGTTTTTAAAAAAAAAAAATTGGACACGGATTTTGGTGTGTCCGAGACGTATCGTACCGTGTCCCACCCGTGTCGGTGTCGGACACGCGAGTCGACTCGGACACCCCTATTATGTGGCGTGTCCGTGCATCACAGAGTATGACAACTCTGCATCAACAGGTGATTTATCCTTAGCACTTGCAAACTCCCTTGACGATGCCACAAGCGTTACACCACTGTTTTGGGTCGAGGATGATTTCAAATCCTGACGCTCAGTCCAAAATGTGTACCCATTTATGTCATATCCTTCAAATGAGCGAACGTCATCCCTAGGACCATAAGCAAGCCACCTTACTGTATCCGTGACACTCTCATACTTTCCACCCATCACTCGATCACGAAACCAACTCACAAACTTCTTATTATGCAACTGCATCAGTGCCCGTTCACCTTTTGATGGAAATTCATCACGCAAACTAGCCATGTGCTCGTCTAAATATGGGTGAACATCTGCAACATGGTGCAACACATATAGGTGCGCTTGTAATAACTTATCTTGATCAAGTGACATTCGTTTCGACCCGATTGTTCCATGACCATCAAGTCTCTCTTCGACACAAAAATGTTAACTATACAGGAATGAAGATAGTAATATGAATATTTATATTTGAAAAATATATATTTAAACTAATCCATTATAAATTATATAATTATATTTGATTATAGTCGGTGACGGAGCTAGAAATTTCAAACCGGGGGACAAATAGACATCACATTATTTGACAAAAATGTTATTAAAAAAAAATAGTACTTGAACACACATAGTATAGTTAAATACGAGAAGTTAAATTTTTATTACAACTCAAAAATCCAAAATATGGAATACTCAATTTAAAAACCCAACATTTTTTTTTTGACACAAAAAAAAAAAATCCAAAATTATATACCAATTCTTCCTAAATACGAAGTACTTGCTTATGGGTTTGGAATTTTTGCATAATTCAAACATTAGATTATATAGTTAATTAAATGCAATTGTCATACACTCATACTTACCTATTACAACCATAATTTTGGGGATTTGTTCATGCAAAACAATTACAATAATTATTTAAATACATATATGTAGTACCCCCTCCTTTCCTTATCTACATACCTAGTTTCGGGAATTAAGGAACTTAAAGATTCCTTAAAAGTCATAAATGGGAAGTACAAATGTGCATGTAGGGTTAGAGAGAGATAAAGAGGAAAAAAAAAGGTAGTTGATAATTATTGAAGAGATAGAGAGAAAAAGTGTTGAAAAATGATGTCAAAAGTACCAAAAAAAAAAAATTTGATGACAACTCATCAAAAAGAGGAAATATTGTAAAAAAGTACATTCTTTAAATAGATTTAGGTATGTAATTTTGAAACCCCAAAAAGAAAAGTATGCATATAGATAAAGAACGGAGGGAGTAATTGTTAAGAAAGAGATGAAAGGAAAGGAAAATACTACTTATACATTGAAATAAAAAAATTACAGGAATATGCTGCTTATAATCTTATACATTTGATTAAAAAAAAATGAAAAAAAAAAAGTAAAAAGAAAGAAAAGGAAACTGCAGCAGAGGATCGAACCAGAATTCCCGTGAATACAAGCTTACTCCACGCACGACTACACCACTCATTTTGTATTACACAAGTTTGTACACAATTATGTATTTAATCTAATTTATTTTTTTTATAGTGGGGGGAGCTGTCCCCCTTTGTCCCACGCTTCGCCAGTGATTTTAGTATAGGCTTGTAAGAAAACTTGCAAACTTATTAATGAAATTTAAAGTAAAAAGGTTTTAAGTATTCGGAAGCATAGCTGTGAGCCTGTGAAGTTAGTTAGTTGCCCAAATTTCCGAAATGTTTCTTGTTCCTAATTGAGAGTAAGGATGATACCAATATGTTCTGGTTCTAAACCTCATTACTCATACATCTTCTATCCTATACTACTATGTATTTATTTTAATCCGGCCCTATATATATCTCCTGGAATCTGAAAATAAGCTCTAACCACTTGAGTTATCCCTCACTCTCGCCCAAATTAAACCTTGTATTTATCGTATTTGCAAATTGGATCAAATCATATTCTAAATTTTAAAACCTTATATGTATATTTATGATTGATTTGAAGCTTATTTTAATACAATTTTCGAATTTATTCTTATGGAATGATGTGGATCACTGTTTTTGAAATTTATTTAAGATTAATTAAGCTCTATTTATTTACTATTTATATGGAGTATTATGTTAAAGTATGTTAGTTTGGGACTCTAGCTTAAATTGTTGAAAAATTGATCTGATTATGTTATTTTAAGACTTTAATATTTTATAGTTAAAAAATGAATTTATGAAATACTTTGTTATGAGAAGCTTTTGTATATGCTCTTAGAAAATTATTTTGAAATAGAGTCTGATACATACATTATAGGGACTAGGGAGTATTAGTCATTACAACAATCATGTCAACAAGATCAAATTACTAAAAAAATCCACCTTTGACTGCGTAGTAATAATCACATCATTTGATTAGAGCTCGTGCAAATCCATCACCTTCAATTAATTCATTATTTGAATTTCATAATTCACATTTATATATTTCATGATTCATTAATATCATTTCATTTTATTGTGCTGATACTAAGCTAGTGATTAAAAAATGGAAAAAAAGAAAAAAGAAAAAAGAAAAAATCTAGATAGGCTTAAAATTAAACAACAATATATTATTACACAATAACTTAGCTTACTATTAATGTTAACTTACATACATATGATATACATTATATAATAATAACTCCCACATATATTTAATTTGATAACACTTATTAACTAAATTACATTAGTAAACTGACTTGACAAATAAAGCATCAAATTAAAGTAACTAAAATTTTTCAGCTAATTAAATAACCAAATTACATTAACTATAAACTTAATTAATTACCCTAGCTTTAATTTAAAACTCTGAAAGTGAAGAGCTAGCTAATTGGTGAACAAGTGCAGTAACAGGTGCAGCTAATGTTGGTTGATAAGCAAATCCATGCAAATTACCCTCCAAATTACTACTAATCTCACAACTTAAATTACCATTACTTGGACAACAAGGCATCCAAATCCACCTTTTTCTCTCAATATCAAACATTAATCCTTTATTAATGACACCCTTAATCATAATCACAATAAACTCACCACTTCCAACACAATCAAACCCTCTTCCTCCTTCAATTTCCTCAAACTGAGCATACAATTGTTGTGGCATCCTCTCGATTTCGGCCCATTGACTCCCACACCCTTGAAGCACCCACATTCTTAAGCTCCTAGGGACATTGAGCTTGCTCTTTTCGACGGCCGCCACGAGGATGAGTCTGTCCTTGCTCTCAACCAAGCAAGGAGACCTTAAGAACCTTCTCATAGGAGCTTGGATCTTCCACCACGCGTTCGAGGAGACGTCGTAGGCTAAGACACTGAAAGGACTGTAGTTCATACAGTAGAATCTGCCATCAGAGTGAAGCATCTGACCTGATTCAAGGCTGCAGAGCCTTGGAAGGGAGGAGGTGGTGTCCCAGACCGAGTAGAACCCGCTCGAGTCGATATGGAAAGACTCTGCAGTAAGGTTTTTGACTGCATAAGGGGAGATCATGTCATCTCCTGCAAGAATCAGATCAACTGATGCTGTGGTAACAGACAGTCCAACAGACGGAAAAAGCCGAGGCCGGCGGGTGGGTGGTAATTGGGTCACTGACCCGAGTAGTGGGTTGTGCAGGAAAAGGTTTTTCAGGCCGGGTTCATCGGACACCCAACAAACAAGCCCGCCCGAGGTGGTAGCTGGCGAAAACCCTAGTGGTATAATAGAGAAAGGGATAATGTACCATTTGACCTCATAAGGGTCAAAAAGATATGCCCTAGTTGATAAAACATTATCTCCTTGTTCGTCTCCATTGTTATTAAGATTAGTGAAGTTATTTCGATAAATAGTACTAGTATTGGGTGTTTTGTGGGTAAAAAAGATGAACCAATGGTGGCAAGGGGAGACTTGTAGGTAGAGTTGAAGGAAAGAGTTGGAGTATAAAAGTGCATACCATCTCTTGCACACGGACCGAGCCCGGAAGAAGGCGGGCAAGGGGAGGAAGGCGAGGATTCGATCCACGAGTTGTTGTGGAAGGCGGCTCCATAGCCGACTATCCATCCATGATGAGGTGGTGATGGTAGTAGGAGTGGTGGGAGGAGGTGGAGGAGGAAATGTTGTAGTGATAGTAGTGTAAGGATGAAAAGTTGGGGCGAAAGTTGGAACATTTGTTATGCCATAATTGTAAGGGAAAGGGATTGCTATTGAAGCTTGGTTGAAAGTTTCCATGGTTTAATGAAGAAATTGATTCAGAGAGTTGAAAAGGAAGTACGTTTTTGGGGGGTTGTTTAAGTGGTTTGTGGGAATTTTAGTGCAAGTGTACCGGGGTTTATAAAGGAATAGAAAAGGCATGCAGCAGTTGACTGACCTTTGCCTCTTTCGATTCCCCCTCTCTTACTCTTAGTTCCTCTTATTATAATACAATAGTAAGTTCTATAATTCGTCTATAAAAGTTCATCATGTTATAACTTTTTTTAAGACAATTACCGTTCAAATAGGAAAAGTTATTAGAAATGGAGAGAATTTTTTCTACACCGTCACATATAGTGGCAATTAAGTCAATATAGTTTGGGCCATATTTGACTGACGAGTTCTTTTAAGATTGATTTCGGTAGAGGGAACGGATCCGGTTATCCTATTTGAATTGGTAGATTACGATCCCATTTTGAGTTTGTAATCACTGATTATGATATTCACGTCTAAGTTAGGCCAAATTTGTTCGCGTCTATTCAGGTGATGCTTGGATTTGGAGGGATTAGTAATTAAGGTTCATGCCAAAAACTGGATCATCCTAATTGAATGCTTGTCATTTATTTCAATTTGGTTACGATCGGATTAATACATGCTACATTGTTTAAGTACACTTTAAAGTTACATTGAATACATTCAACTTGAGTCATATTTAAGTGATGAGTTAACAAGGCCGGAGATTAATAAGGTTCATAGCAAAATCGAACTATTGATGGATCATCCAATAATTTCGGATCTAAATCGGGTCGATCTTGCAGGCTAAGCTATCTCAAATTCTCAACCTGATTCGAATAACATGGGGCCAAATTGGTCACATATATATATGTCAACTTTACATAAGTCACCTGAAAAAAGTGGAAGGTATAGTAAAGCTGAAAGAACCATCTATCAATTCACTGTTTACTTCACACTGCTAGCTACGAGTAAGTTGAGAAATTCACACAAAACTGAGTGAAATTAAAGAAAGAAGCTGCACCAATAAAACCCACAACTCCACTTTTAACAACCCAAATAAAAGCCTGATTCTTGGTATAAAAGGGTGGCGCTCCCAAAACTTTATATTATATGCGTATGTAGTAATTAAAGTATAGTACGTACTCCAAATAATTTTGCAGATTTCAGTAATGTGTTGTTTTTGTCAAACGTTAGCTTTTTTCTATAAATCATCATTTGTCTTTCTGATAGGAAAAAGAATTTTCAACTTATTTCTATAATTAGTAATTTTGTAGTGAATATATTTAGAAATTTCTTTTTACACTTGAGAAAATTCTATTTATATCAAAAGGGTTATGTTTAGATTTGGAAATTTGCGTTTTCTACTAAGAAATCTCCTGAATTTCTTCACCCTGGCCTGCTTCATAAAATCATCTCCTATTCAGGACTAGTGTAGTGTTGTACTCATTTTTATTTAATTTGTCTCGGCTTTTTATGTCTTTGGAGTTAAGAGAATTTTAATTTATTTTGGATGATATAGTTGCAACTTAACTATGGTATGATCAATGAAGTAATAATTACATTACAAAAGTCAAATTTTATTTAGCTCCAAGTTTTGCACCCCTTCTACTCTTCTAGCCATTTCATACTAGGTTCAATTACTTTGTTTCATATTTTCGCCACTAAAAATGATCGGTGTAATCTTAAAATCTCGATCTATATGGATTTTACTATTTAATAATTTTATGATAATATGTTTTTGATTTGAATCTCATGTAGAATCTTAATATATATTTGAAGGATCTTAAGATCCCTCTTAGATAAAAATCAAGAGTTATTGGTAGGATCTTAATACAATTCTACAATTTTACGTACGATCCATTGATTGAATTCAGCATACAATGATAATTTAATATGATAGACCGTGTATATATTACATTTTTTTTTTGTTATTATTATTTTATGTTTATGTGTCATTAAAAGCATGAACCAATCATTATTATTGCTTAAAAGTGATTAAAAAAAATCAAAGAAATTTGTGTTATCTTATTAAGTAGGACCTACAGTTAAATATATTATGGCCTTAATTTATTTTGACATCCTTGCACACATCTTATCAATTACAATGCAACTTGTGTGATGCCTTTAACAACTTGTGCCTTTGAATCTTTGATTTAAATATAACCAAAACAAGGCCTCTTAATATTATGGTTTACTTTAAATTCATTAAAATTTGTGCTTTTATATATTAGAGTAAGATTAACATTATTTCCATTATTAATGAAATTCTTAAATATGACCTCACAATTCAATCCTACCAATCCGATCCTACCCCCTCATTGATCCAAGGTAGAATCTTGATCTTGATAATTAATCTTGTTGTATGCACGTTACTTATTAATACTATATTTTAATTTACTAATTAGCTTATCTTAAATGTCAATGTACTCTTATTTGTCATTTTTCATATACCAATGCAATGTCAATATGTCATCGGTCATTATGAATATCAATTCAAAATGAATCAAATTTTAGGTTATATTCAATTTAATTTATCTAATTAAGAAAATGTTTGGAAAAAGATATATGCAGTCTTGCATATAAGAAGCTAAAAGTGAAAGAATTGATAATAAATAAACATTTATTACACCGATTTACTCGTGAATTGTCGATAAATTCCCAACTTAATACTAAAAAAATAAGTAGATTAAATGCTTATATGCGGCCCTTAGCATTACCTTTTAAATATGGATGGATTGGAGTTTTTTCTTTTTACTTTTTTCTTTTTTATGTTTTTTTAATGCACAAAAATTTGTACAAGTAAATAAGAAGCATGAATAAAGAGGGGATGCTTTTATGATGTAGTGGTACGATTTAATTTTACAAACTGTCATATCATACAGATTGCCAAGGTTATCTAATAATGATGTTACTGGTAAATAAAAAATGTAATGATGTTATTTAACTCTTACAGGCGATTGCATGTATATTAGTGACTAGTAAGAGGCTAAAGAACAATTGTTTACTACTGCACGTATCTTTCAAATTAAAGGCCTAAAATTCATTACAAAATTTATTTTAGATTACTGCTGTTGAATTTACCTAAGCTACATTGATAACGTACAATGACAATAGTTGTGAAATTGTTTTTTCTTGTTGTTTTCGTTTAATATCCTCTTGTACTTTGAAATTTGTTCATCACTACAACAAAATCTAGAATTTTTAGGTTTTTCATATGTATTTTAATTTTATAAATTACTGGGTAGATTCAAGTTGTGTGACCTTGTGACTACTAAAGATAGTATTTTTACAACCTGACCAAGTTATATAGATTGAAAGAGTTTAATTTCTTGAAATTCTGCTAAAGCGGCCCTTGTTTAGTATAGAGAGTTTAGACTTAAAAATGAGCTGCTTTGACCAAATCAGAGGGTTGACCACATAAAACAACTACAACTTTTTTATTTGGTAAAAGATCTCTTTCAAAAAGCTGATTGAGTTGAGTTTACTACTCCGTAGTTTGTAAAAAACTGAAAAAAGGAGCTTTTTCAAATAGTTGATTGAGAAATTTTAGCTAAATAACAATTTGGTCCTGAAGTTATTATAATTTACGAAGTACATCACAACCTACAAATTTAGCTAATTTTACTACGAGTAAACAATTTTATGAAAACAATTAATACAATCAGCTATTAGTTATCCCTTTAATAATAATGATAAAAATAAATAAAAAAAAGGTGTGAATTTATGCAACTAGACTAAAAAAAGTGAGTTATGGGTTGTGTTCGTTTCATACTTCGTATGGGCTCATAGCCACATCAGTTGAAGACCCAATAATTAACTTAACCTTATAAGTCTATAACCAGTTAAACCAACGTTTACATCCCTTGATAAATACTTCCTCCGCCTGCCTTTTTTTTTTTTTTCTCTTTTGTCCTATTTGACTTTGTTACATCTCCAAAATGCGTCTTAAATCATATATATCTTCATTTTTTACATGTGTAAAATTAAAAAGACTTTATTTTAAATAAATACAGACATACAATATACAATTAGATGACTCAAATAAGATTCCACATAAATATAATATCACTTATATATTAACGAGATTTTATGCTCAAAGCTTTAAAAATTTGACCCAAATTTATGCATTGAGTTGATGTAAAAAATAAGGGACGGATGGAGTATTTTTTAAATTCGAAAATATATCTAGTTATATACTTATATGTCATTCTACAAGAAAGCGGAGTAAATTTATTTATTTTTTTTTTACTTTGTTGACAAAAGCACATGACATTATATAAAAGCATAAGCATTTTTGTCGTCTTCTTCAAAAAAAAAAAAAAAAAAGCATTTTTATAAAACACACATTGGTAATAAATAAAGCACATATGACAAAAATTAGACATAACTGTTTCGGATAAGCTCCGATATCCCGTATTCAGGATCTGTAAAAAAACCATATCGTCTAGCCAAGTAGCCGCACAATCAATGCAAATTAGCTAACCCTGAATTTGTCCCGAGATAACCACTCCGATGACAAAGTCAGTTGCGATTTCAAGAAGAAGATAAAAGAAAAGAAGAGAAAAATGATAAAGAAAGAAGAAGAGAGAGAGAGAAAGAGTTTTTTTTTTTTTTTTTTTTTTCCCTTCATGTATTTACTACCTTGTAAATGAGAAAATTAATGAGTATTTATAGGAAGATTAACTTGGCCACGTGGTTGATCCTAAGGTTGTGTAATATGTGCCGATATGGTCATACAACCGTTATGCAAATTCGGATATCAAGATCTGACTCGATCCAAATCTCGTATCTGTTATATCAGCACCGATATCACTCTATACAATAACTAATAGTATCAACAACCTCAACAAAATCATTTTATAAACACATATCGACTAAAAAAAAGGCACATTATAATGGTTTATATATAATCGGTTGTAGCTTCTACTAATCGGTAAAACTTGAATAAATTAGACCCTAACTTAACAACTCTATAAAACTTTTTAAAATCATGTTAGAGCCTAACTTAGACACAACTTAATTTAACTTAACTAAGTGACATTATTCAACTTGATATTTAATAAAAAGAAAAATTGACAAGAATAATCCAAACTATTGGCTCCCTTCTCATTTTAATCCCATGCCAACTAAGTTTTAA